ACCTCGGCCTCTCCCCCCGGCCCCCTCTCCTCCTTCCCTTTCAGGCCTCAGTAACATCATAGGCATCATCGTCTACATTTCCAGCAACACGGGCGACCCGAGCGACAAGCGCGACGAGGACAAAAAGAACCACTACAACTACGGCTGGTCTTTCTACTTCGGGGCCCTGTCGTTCATCGTGGCCGAGACCGTGGGCGTCCTGGCCGTGAACATTTACATCGAGAAGAATAAGGAGCTGAGATTTAAGACCAAACGGGAGTTCCTCAAGGCTCCCTCCTCGTCCCCCTACGCCAGGATGCCCAGCTACAGGTACCGGCGACGGCGCTCCCGGTCCAGCTCCAGGTCCACGGAGGCCTCGCCCTCCAGGGACACGTCGCCGGTGGGCCTGAAGATCGCCGGGGCCATCCCCATGGGCGAGCTGTCCATGTACACGCTGTCCCGGGAGCCGCTCAAGGTGACCACGGCGGCCAGCTACAGCCCGGGCCAGGAGGCCGGCTTCCTGCAGGTGCACGATTTCTTCCAGCAGGACCTGAAGGAGGGCCTGCACGTCAGCATGCTGAACCGGCGGACCACCCCCGTGTGAGCGCCCCTGCCTGGCACCAGCCTCTCCCCAGAATGGCTGCTTGGATCCCACGTGAGGGCATTGAACCCTTAAGGCGGACCCGCCGTGGACTAAAGCCAAACCCAACCCTCCTGGTCTCCAGATGCGTGGCGGGCTGGCGTGGAGCGAAGAGCCAGGACACTGGCATCCGAAGGGAGAGGCTGACTTGATCCCCCCAAAGAGGGTGCGTGGACGGATGCCCTGGGTTCCGGAGTCTCCCGGGGGCTTGAGTGCAGTCCTGAGACTGCCCGGCCTTCGCCCACCTGGGAAAACACAATCGAGCCATTCTCTCCTCTTGGAAACAAATATTTCCGTAAGAACGAGCTTTCGGGGCCTTCCCTCCCCGCCGGGGCGCTGGGCCACTGGGAGGCCACTGGCTGGTACGTGGGGCCTAGGACGCTGGTCAGCTGCTTGTTAACCTGAGGTTCCTGGGCCTGGGAGCCGGAAATGTGGAAGCTGAAGCTCTCCCCTTCCTTCTCTCCATCCGTCTGTCTGTCTGTCTGTCTGTCTGTCTCTCTCTGACAGTGGCCTGTTGTTGACATGGCTGTGATCCCGAGGAGAAAGGCCTGCGGCCAATGGTGCTTTGGCCTCTGTGCTGTCCTGGGGCCGGCGCCCCTCGACCGGAGGAGACCGAGGCCTGGAGGGGAGGGAACCCACAGAGGGGTCCTTCGCTGGCCTGGCGTGAGCTAAAGGCCAGAGTCTGTGGCTGGCTTTCCTGTCTGCTTCTGGAAGTTTCTGCCTCACACAGAAAGGGCAGAACACACTGACTGTGCTTGCGAGGCCGGAAGGTCCCGGGGTGACAGGGGTCACAGGCGGCCCCGTGGCTCCTGCTGGGTCCTCCTGGGGAGCGGACAGGTGGGCCTGCCGCACACGCCGATTTGGCATCAGCGTCCCAAACTGCTGGGCAAGAAAGGGAGACGGAGGGTGAACCGGGACCAGAACCTCAGAAAACACACATCCGTCTCCGAGTGGTTATTAATCGTGATTTATTGCAAATAGTAGCCAGGAGGGCAAGTTCCATTCACTTCCTCATCTTACAAAGTAGCAGGACGCCCCCCCCGCCCCCCCCGCAACTCCCGTTCTTGTAACTTATTCTGTCGTCCCCCCTCCCCCCCACAAGGGCTCAGAGAGGAAGAGGAGGGGGGCCAGGCCTCGGCTTTCTTCCTCCTCAGCAGAGGGATGCTCTGCGCTCCGGCACCGAGGAGGTGGGTTCCTTAGGTGATGTTTTTTTCCAACCCCGCCCCCCAAAGCCAGCAGAGGCATGGAAGCATGTCGGGTTCAGGAGAAACACGTTGTGGAACACAGAGCTTACCCCCTTTTGTATAACAAAGTCCTTTCTTACTTTTTGAGACTTGGGGAGCCGGCCTGGAGCAGTCAGCTGGGATCCCGGGAGCCGTTGGACTTGGAAGTAACAAGCAAATTCTTACCTCAGCCCCCTGCTCACAGAGCCCTGGGTGGACTTGGCCCCTAGGAGTTCAGATCCGGGCCAAGGTCACTGCCATCCTCCCTTTGCCCCCGAGAGGACATCTCCACGTGTCCCGCCTCCCACCTCCGTGGCTGGCGCTGCGTGCTGGAGCCCCCCTCCCGCCCGCTGACCTGGGCTCTGTGAGGTTTGTCCAGCATGTGCCGCCGTGAATGCTGGGGTGTCGGGGCGCGCGGCTGCCCCTGCCGAGGGCTGACCCCAGCTGTCCTGCCTCACCCCTGCCACCCTCACCCCTCCACATCATGACACCATCTTTCCAGGCTGGAAGGAAGGGGTGAAACCTGGGGACCCATCACCCAGCGAGGCCCCCAGATTCCAAAGCCAGGCAGCCTGGCTGTTCCTTCCACAGAAGTCCCCACCCGCCCACTCCCCGGGGAGTCTGTCCTTTCATGGAGAAAGCTGTGTCCAACGAATCCTACCTCTTGCCCAGTCCCAGGCGGAGCTCGCACAGCCCACTCTAGGGACCGAGAAAGTAGAGAGAAGCCACCAAGTGCAGGGAGCAGAACAGCCTGAGACCCTGGTCTCCATAGCCTTTCTCCACACACCCTGCCCCAGGCTCCGGGAGGGACCCCGGCTCTGGTTCCCGTGCTCACGGCCTCTTACCTGGGGCCGCCCCGGGAGGGGCGGATGGAGCTGGCCCCCTGCCCCTGTCATTCTGAGACCTTGCGCTCCAACCAGCCCTGTGTGTTTTGCCAATTAAGCACCTGTGAATCCTGTACCTACTACTGGTTTGGGGTTGTTAGTTCGGTCTTTTTTTTTTTTTTTTAATTAAATAAAATGATTTTTAAAATGTTCTCTTCCTGATGTGGGGGGAGGGGAGAGCACCCCTCAAGCCTGTGGACACTTAGAGCCAAGAGTGTCCCTGAGTCTGGGGGGTGCTGCAGACCCCCGAGAAGAGGGGGTTCAGCAGGGGTCAAGGCCAGTTCCTCTGGCTTTCATCTGGTCGCTGACCACCTCCCAGCACCACCTGCTGGTTTCCGACCTCTGGGAGGTGCCATGGAGGGGCCTTTGCACAGCAGGGTGAGATGGGCATCTGGGCAGCTGAGCAAGCCAGGCCTCAACCTGCCGGTGAGGCCGCAGGGAGAGCCACAGCTCAGAGGCCGTGCGCTGCTCAGTGGGGTTCCTCAGTCCACCGACCAGCCTCCTTTCCCGTCCAGGTTCCGAACTGGCTACGAAGTAGAAGAGCCTGAATTCCAGACTGAGCTTTAGTACTGAGATAGCTGGACGGGGGAATGTGGCCCCGACCAGAGGCCAGAGGGGACAGAGCCACCCGATCCCAGGCCACCAGGAGGAGTGAGGAAGGGAGGGAGAGGGGGTGATATGGACATACTGCGCAGGTCCCGCGGGACACGGTGTCACCCACCAGGTTCAGCCCAGCAGATGGCACTGGCTGGACATCACCCCCATTCTCTCGGAGGCACAATGAGGCTAAGCAGTGCTCCCTAGTTCTCCCCAAGCTGCAGCCCAGGGGACCTTCCCATCCGATCACAGGCTCCATCGCCTTTAGGACTAAGGCCTTGAGTTTTCCTGAGAGCCATCCCGGATCTGAGAGGCCCCAACTCTTGAGTGTCACGACGTTCTTGCCAACCCTCGTCCCAGCAAAGAAGGCAGAGGGCCCAGTGTCCCCGTGTTCCCACCCTTGTGGCTGCAAGAACCACTCCCAACTTGTCCAAACTTTCAGCCCTGGCTTTTTTTTCTTTTTAATCTTCACCCAAGGAGTGAGGATATTTTCTCGATTGATTTTTAGAGTCAGTGGAAGGGAGGGGAGAGGGGAGAGAGAGAGAGAGAGACATCCATGTGACAGAGACACATCAATTGATTGCCTCCCAATGTGCCCCAGACCAGGGGGCAGGGAGGTGACCTGTAACCCAGGTGTATGCCCTTGACCAGGAATGGAACCCAAGACCCTCCAGTGAGGAGACCATGGTCTAACTGAGCAACACCGCTCATGGCTCATGGAGGTTTGATTGACATACAAAATGTTGTATATACTTAATGTATATAACATAGTGAGTTGGGATATAATATACACCAGTGAAACTATGACCACAATTTCCTTTGGATTTGTTCACCCACTTCGCTTATAATATTGTGAGAGGCAGAGATCAGACCTGCAACCCAGGTACGTGCCCTTGACTGGAAATCAAACCCGAGACCTTCTGGTGTGCAGGCCAATGCTCTAACCACTAAGCATGCCAGCCAGGGCCAGCCCTGGCTTTTTAACCCTCTTACTGATGCCCCAAATATGCTGAGCCACCAGGTCTCAGGGCCAGGGCAGCTTAGGACCCACCCCACCAACGAACCCCCTGCTTCACCAGCCTGGAGCCAGCGCCACTCAGCATTGGCACCATGTGCCCGAACTTCTGTGCCTCCTGCTCCTTCTCAGCCTGGAAGAAACTGGCTCGGCACGCTGGTTCCCAGCCTGGTGGCCGCCCGTGGCAGTCTGCAGGTCGTGTCCTGGTGTGGCCTCCGGTATGGGGCTCATGGGGTCACGTGTTTCATTCATCTGAAAACTCTGCCTCCATCATTTGCAGAGATAGATCTACAGAACTGACACAGAAGTGGATGTTCTGGTTCCCCAACCAAAACGCCACTCAGAGCCCCCCTCCAGCCCTGCAGCCCCCATTCTGCCCTTCACTTATATTATTTAGAATAGGCCGGCGACGTAACCAATAACCCCCAAACGAGGAGTGGCTTCATACAATAGAAATCTATTTCCCACCCATCGAGTTCAATCAACTGGGCAGGTGAGGGTGCTCTGCTCCACGCAGTCACTCAGAGATTCAGGGACCCACTCTGGAAGCTCTGCCGTCTTCATCATGGGCTTCTAACGTTGCCCCCGGCATTGACACCTGGCAGGCAGATGGAGGAGAGAGAGGGAAGGTGTTCTTGTGAGTAGAGAGTCTTGTGGGAGGTTTTCATGGACCAGGAAGTTGTGACTCTCTCCCCTGCCCACATGCCATTGGCCAGAACTCAATATCACAGTCCCATCTAAGAGCCAGGGAAGATGGGAAATGTAGTTTAGCCCAGGAGGAAAGGAAAACAGTTTGGGGGAACAGCAGTCTGGGCTCCCTGGTCTATGTCTTTCTGCATCTCCTTCTTGCCGCCCTGCCCCCAAGTCGTTCTGGGAGTGCCTCCTTGACACTGATGCCTTTGTCTGGGATTGGTCCACCTCTGCGGCCTCAGCCCCTCCTTCAGCTCCAATGTGAGGTCTGGCCTCTTCTCGGCTCCAGATACCCATCTGTAAAATGGGTCTGTGCTACCTTCTTCCTAGGTTGGAGGAGCAGGCTTGAGCTCCTGCCTTGACCCAAACAAGAACCACAAAGTCACAGGTCACCGTGCCCCAAGCAGCAGTGGCAGGAGCCTTAGGAATCATCTCGGTCAACATTCTCATCACAGAAGAAGAATCAGCCCAAAAAGGAAATGGCTGGAGGAGGGGGGCGGGGCAGGGAGAGGTTGGGGGAGGAGGAATGGGAGGAGGAATAAAAGGAAGGAAGGAAATTTGTAACAACCATGGAAGGGAGATACCACTGGCCCAGTGGTTCTCAAGTGGGGGCAGTTTCGCTCTCCAGGGGACATTCATCCATGTCTGGAGACATTTTTGATTGTCACAGCCTGGAAGGCGGGTGCTACTGGCATCTACCGGGTGGAGGACAAGTGTGCGGCTAAGGCACGGGACAGCCCTCACCCCCACCCCCCAAGAATGATCGGGCCCAAAATGTCCGGCTGAGAAACAGTGCACGAGTCTGATTTTACAGTGAGGGAAACTGAGGCACGGAAGGGTGAGGTCGCTTGTGCACGACCACACAGCGGCTTCTTGGTGCTTGCACCCAGGCTGTGGGCGTATTAGGAAATCTCACTTACTCATTCCCCGGATTTCCTTTCCCTGCTACACATTCCAATTTCTGCCTCTTTTGAGCCAACAGCTTTGGAAACAGAAGTTGTGGGTTGAAGAAGGAAATGGGAAAACAGCCACCTGTCCTGGGTTGGGGTTTGGGGGTGCCTTTGCCCCTGGGTTTGGGAATCAAATATGGATGGAATTGAAGCAGGCAGCTGGAGAAACCTGGCCCAGCCTGACTCTGGACTCGGTGGCCTCCTGCCCCGCTCCCCCGCCTCCCCCTCCCCCGAGGCTGCAATGAGTGGACAGTGAGGTGGCCGAGAGCCAGAAAGACAGGCATCCTATCCTCCAGTCACCCGCGGGCAGCCCTGGGCGAGTCGCCCAGCCTCTCTCCGAGCCCGCGGTCAAATGAGGAAGGTTACAATTCCCTCCCAGGGTTGTTGGGAGATGAGTTCAGCTTTAACGTAAACAAGGAAACAGGAGCCTGGCGTTAGAGTGAGCTTCCAGAGGTGTTTGTTGACTGACAACACTCGAGAAGTTTGCCAACACGGATTGTTCTAGAGGAGTGCTCTGAGAGCCAGGCCCAGCTGCCCAGGTATTGTGCAGTGCTCCCCACTTCCCTGGAGAGGGGTCCTCCCCCAGCTGCTTCCCTGGCTGATGCCCATTCATTTCTGCCCTCAGTGGTCCCCAGCTGTGGATTGGTGGTCAAGGAAGCCACATGGCTGCAGCTGTCTTTGCAGGCCCTGCAACCCCCAAACCCCACTGGGGTGTTCCCGGTCCCACACAGGTGATCCAGGCTGCAAAACTAAGTCCCGAACACTCTGAGATGCCCTGGGAGCAGGACTGCATGGGGAGGATGTCCCGTTCTGGGTCCCTAGTGTGGAGCTCACAGAGAGGAGAGACCTGGGGGAGGGGAATGAGATGGAAGGGGAGGGGAGGCCTCCCTGCACTGGTTCCTGATATAGCACCCCCGGCTGCCCGGCCCCAGAGATGAGGGGCAGGGGAGGGAAGAGGGGAGGAAGAGTTGCTGAGGGACCCTGGACTCCAGAGGAGGAGATGGGCAGATACACTTGAAACAGGTATTTTTAAACCTGCAGCGTCCAGGTTTAAAAGCCGGTGCGACCTCAGAAACAGAAGTCTGTGTCAGAGGAGGTTACAAACTCATGTCCTTAGACATTTTGCAGGAGCGGAGAATGGTGGGGGTGCTGATATCTCCAAACCATTACTCCTCCACCCTCCTGGGGAAAAGCTTTCTCCGAGGGCCTAAACCTGTTTTCATCACTATCACCTCCCCAACTCTTTCTTGGCCACTTCCTTCACCTTCATCAGAGACTTTGCCTCTGGCTCAAAGCCTTCCTCTGTACCCCAAGTCCTGCCACCATCAAACTGAGCCACACCCACGTCAGTAGGGCCAACCACTCCAATTCCCTGGCCTCATAGCTCTCCTGTCTTCTCAACTCCATTGGCCACCTCACCTTCTCGCCTCCTGAGCTCACCTCCTTTGGCCATCTGGTCTTCTCATCTTCACTGACCTTTATCTCCAACCTGGATCTTGCCATCACCCCCCTGACTGTCCCCTCCTATAATCTTCAGAGACGTCATCCTCCTCTCAGGCCACAGCTTCCAATGTTCCCAATTCCTTCATTCCCTGACCATCACTACACCTGTTTTCCAGCCTCATCAAGCCCTTCAGGGCCTTGGCCTCCCCATTTTCTCCCAATATATTGACCCTTCCTGACAGCAGGGTCATCCTAACCAGCCCAGACATGGCAAGTCATCATCTAAACCCACCCTTGCCGAGGCCCTCAGGTCCCTCGGCCCCTTCTCCTTCTCGCTTTTTGCTCCTGGAAGAGCCCCAGCTCTCTTTCAATCTCACTTTCCATCTTCTCCGTTCCTGCACCTGAGCTACAGGCGATGCCAGAGAAGATCAAGCAAGTTGTACATCAATGCCTGTGGTAGGCAGAATAGCAGTTCCCAAAATGCCCAAGTTCTAATCCCTGGAACCTGTGAATATGTCACCTTCCACAGCCAAAGGGACTTTGCAGATGTGATTAAATTAAGGATGTTGAGATGGGGAGATTTTCCGGGGTTGTCAATAAAACCCCAAGGATTCATATAACAGAAAGGGAGGCAGGAGAGTCAGAGATGAAGATGCGATGATGGAAGCAGAGGTCAGAGTGATATGATGGCTGGCTTTGAGGATGGAAGTGTTCTGGGTCCCCTGGGCAGAGGCACAGGGTGGAATTGGGGGCAGCAAGACGAATGCAACAGAGGGCCCCAGGTGAACGGTGCAGGGAGGCAGACGAAGTGGCATAAAGAGGTTGGGACCCATTGGCTGGCACCCCGTTTTTTTACGGTACCTTAAGGTCACACAGGGCCATTTCTTAGCCTCATTAAGCCCAAGCTCAAAATTCGATCAGCACATTGCCAAAGAGAAGTTATTTGCCCCCCACCCAGGCGTGCCCTGGTCCCAGCTCTGACTGAGGCCCCCCTGTGGGAGATGTTTTCCCTCAACCTAGTTATGTCTGGTCCTTCTTGGGACAAATGAAAACTGGTTCATCTGGATGAGAAAAATACAGACATCACCCGATCAGCTTAGTGTGGGGATCTACTTTGAAGACTGTAGAGAATGTCCTATCTCAGGAGGCTGCTTCCTTTTGAACTTGATCACAGAGGTGACAACAGTGCCCTCCCGGGGTGCCCTCAGTGCCTGGAGGCAAATCAGCCACTGGTCCAAGCTGTCCCAGGGCTGCCCTGGCTGCCATGTCTTATGTCCCCGTGGCCTTGAGCCACAGAGAAATGTCCTTTGGATCATCTGGTGGAGTGAATTATTTGAGCTTCTGTCTCCTCCTTTCAGTCCATCTGTCCATCCTTCCATCCATCAGTCATTTAACAGACATTTATGAAGATCCCAACCTGGGCTCAGATCGGGTGGGTTCTCTGAGGGACCCAGAATGAGTACATAATACAGTCTTGCCATCTCTACCCTCCAGAAGCTTATGGCCCATTAGAGAAAGCTGATCCATCTGCAGTTTATAAATAATAATAACAACAGCCATCTTGGATTGGATGCCGACTGTACTAGTCAGCTCGGGCTCAAGACCATACCCTGGATGACCTTAACAACCAAAATTTATTTTCTCACAGCTCTGGGGGCTGGAAGTCCTAGATCAGCATGGTTGGGAGCTGGGAAGAGTCTTCTTCCTGGCTTTCTCCTCCTCACGTGGCAGAGAAAGAGAGACAGCAAGCTTGCTGGTGTTCCTTCTTAAGGGCAGGGTGAGGAGGTGAAGTCCGAGATCAGGCCACCAACCTGGTGGGGTTCTGATGAGGACTCTCTTCCTGGCTTGTAGATGATGCCCCCTTACTGGGCACTCACAGAGTGGAGGGGCAGGGCTCCGGTATCTTTTCCTCTCCTTATAAGGGCACTAATCCCACCATGAGGGCCCCACCCTCATGGCCTCATCTAAACCTAATTACCCCCCAAAGCCCCACCTCCAAATACCATTACACTGGGGTTTGGGCTTCAACATATGAATTGGGGGAAGGAGGGCATTATTCAGTCCATGGCACCTACCCTAAGTGAAGCTGGTAAATGCATTATCTCTAATTCTACAGCAGCTCCCAGTCATCGCCACTGCCCTTATTTTATAGCTGAGGGGAGGGCAGCTCAGAGCGGTTGATGACTGGCTGGAAGCCACACAGCTGGACGCCAGCAGGGCAGGGATCTGACTCTGAGGCTGCGGACTCCATCACTGGCAGGTTGGTTCCCACTCCCTAAGGAGCTGTCCTTCCTGATGCCTGGACAGGGTAGGACCATGCGGAGCAAGCATGTCAAACTCAAAGGCTAACACG